GTCTAAAGTTAATTAGCACCATAACTCCAGGAAAAAACAGAGACAACATTTTATGTCAGATTTCCTTCATGGCACAACATTCTTACAAAGAAATAATGAGATGAAATTCCGAAGCTTAATAATTATGTGGTGTTATTTGTAAATTTCAATTATGTAAATAAAATAAAATAAAAAAATACTAGCAAAATTCAACACCAACTTCATCAGTAGAAGTCCTAAACTGTATCACCTCAAAGAGAGAACCAAAAATTAAGCATGTAAAACAAGGATCAACTTTTTTACCTAAATTAAAAGTTACAATCCGAAGGCTACCCTCTGAACATAATCACGAGTCAGGACGCCTTTTGCTTGGTGCCCGAAGTAAGCCTACTATCGGCAGCTCAATTATGGCCCTGCAAAACCTTGCTCTATGCAATTTTAAGTGAAGGATGACAATTATAAATCAGGAACGTTTCCAAGTCCCAATTTCAACACAATGCAATTCACAGCTGAATGCTATCTTGTTAGATGTTGTATTACCTTAAACGGCTTTGGAATTAGGATCTCGTTGTAGAAATCACACATAGTTGTCTAAATTAAAAGGTAGAATCAACTCACCTACTAGCAACCTGGAGAACTCTTCACGGATCATTGATTTTGTGAGTGAAAGTTTAATGAGAATTCAGATGCTTCCACGGTGTGGTAGACGACGGAGAGACAAGTTTGGCGATGAGAGATGTTACATTTGATCGATCTGTGGTGAAATGGAGCCGGCTGAAAGATGTTACCGTAGATGCTGAGACGAGGTCGGCGACGAGCGGTAGATGCTGAGACGAGGTCGGCGACGAGCGGTAGATGCTGAGACGAGGTCGGCGACAAGCGGTAGATGCTGAGACGAGGTCGGCGACGAGCGGTAGATGCTGAGACGAGGTCGGCGACGAGCGGTAGATGCTGAGACGAGGTCAGAGACGAACAATAGATGCTGAGACTATGTCGGCGACGAGCTGTAGATGCTTAGACGGCCAGCTGCTAATTTCCAGTTTTCGATACAAAGTAATTTAGTAAAGTTCTCCTATTTATCCAATGATTACCAAATGTTAGGAATGTAGATGAGGCGCACTTTAAATTAGCGTGGCAAAAATAATAAAATCCATACAAATTCAGCATTTTTTTTAAAGAGCGCCGCGGTGTAAGCGCCTTTAAATCCGCTTTTCCTAGTAGTGAATAGATCTCTTTTATAGCCCAAGTATGTATTATGCATCCTTAAAATAGCTAAATGTGTGTGTTTATATAATATATATATATATATATATATATATATATATATATATATATATATTGTTGTTGTTTTTCAGATAATTTATGTTTATTTTGGTATGTATTGAAAGAATATTAAAATTTTAGAGAAATCATTAATGACTTCATTTCAGGTAATGTTCACTACAAAAAAAACACGGGATTGGTAGGAATTTTGACACGGATTACCGACTTTTCGTGCCAAATAGCTCGATCCAAAGTGTTTTTGGCACGGATTTCGCATAATCTCTGCCAAAGTCCCTACCAAAATCCATATCAATCCCGTGTTTTTTTGTAGTGGTAGCGCACATGACTTTTTGTTGTATCATGTTTATGCAATTTTACAACTTAATGAATATGGTTTAAATCTTCGCTCTCAAGGTTCAACTATAAATTAAATTAGATCTACGGAGTAATATTTAACCTAGAATGAAGAAGAATAACGTTGAGGATTTCTATAATATATTCAACAATTTGATGATATTTTTTTATATTTATCTCGTGCGTCATCGTTTTGGTAAACTCTTTCTTAGTTGTGTTGCACTATTTGTTTATTTGTGAATTTTAGTCCTATATATGCAATTTCTTGTATTTATATCAACATTTCATGGGAGTTGTTTGGTGTTATGATCTCTACTAATTGAAAGATTTGTTCAATTTTTTTAGCATGTGTTTGGTATTGTACCGTATTGTTTTGTAACGCTCCGAAACGACATGGTACCGAACGGTTCCATCCTTGAAACCGAACGGTACCGGACCGTTAAAAACCTCACGGATACATTACGGGTTTTACTAATTTATCGGACCGTTCCGGACCGCGCCCGCCCCTAATGACCACATACCACATATGAGTGGGCCGAGTGGCACAATCCAAGAGACAGTGTTGCTTATAATTCTAGAACTATGTTGCCATTTTCAAACCAAATGTTGCTAAAAGTATGGATGAAAATGTTACGTAATACAATCGTATATTTATTGTTGAAGAATAACATAGCGAGTTTCCTTTCAAAAATAATATAGCGAGTTTGTCCTCGTTGCACGTTATATGAATAAGGGTGATATCTTTTCATTGATTTCTAGAACGTACTTCTGAAACACGTAAATACGTAATTCCATTGTTAATTAATTCTAAAACATTCATTTTGGAAATATTTTATTATTTGTTCTATACTCGTATTTATTTATTGAATTAACGTTAAATCGTCGCTTTCTTTTTTACATCTTTCTGTTTTTCCTCTTCTTTTTCATATTTTATCATCTATTCTCTCATGCATTTCACATTTTCTTACACTATTCAATACTCATACTCCATAGTATTTTCTTCATAATACATTCACTACGTAGTTATAATTGGGGGTACGTGTACGTACATTGTGTATTATAATGTTGGACTGGAAATTGATGGTCTGGTCTGATCTAGTCTAGTCGGGTCTGTTTAAGTTTGATCTGATCTGGTCTGATAAATATTTGATCTCTGTGTATTTTATTAATAAATGTTTAAGTCTAGTTTGATAAAGTCTGATCTGATCGATCTAATCTGTTAAGTCTGATTTGGTTTGTTTATGCATGATGTGATATGATATGATATGGGACCAAAAACATCCTAATGATTCATCGTGCATATAAGGATTCATCATTTCATCGTGCAGATTTTATACGGAGTAATGTATTAGCAAAGGTAGAAATGTTAACGTACACTCGTATACGCAATAGGATATAAATGAACAAGTACTAGAGTGCTGAACCACACACTACGAGATTGTGTTTCTTTTTTGTTTTATGTTTATATTATTTCTTTTTTGACTAGAATGTTACGTAGTAGGAGTATATGTTTATATATATTATTATGTTTATTGTAGCTAGATTGATGTCGCCCTCAGTCCTCACTACACTTCGACATTATGTTAACACTATGTTAACACTATTACACTATTACACTATTGTACTGTGTATAAGTTCGTACAACAAACATTGAACTGATTGAAGTAAAAGAATATTTGCAAGAAGTATTTGCAAAATCATCTCATCTTTCCTTTTATCCATTCTTCCACATTTTCTCTTCTATACACAACTTTTCATCACACAATATTTATTATAATCCACGTGTCATTTGCACTTCATAAAATAAATATGGGACAACAGGATTAGTAGATACGAACGTGAAAGATTACATTTTAATCTAATAACTTTATTTTAATTAGATATAAATCATTATTTCCCATTACTATAACGGGTAGAATGGAACCGGGTGCCGCAAAGGCCTAGTGCCTGCTCGACCCTGTCCAGGCGGCTTGCGCCGTGCGTCACCATGTCCTGAGATCATTACGCCAACAATCATGAAAGGCCTCAATTGGCAAGCTTGGGCTCAGTTTGCGGGAAAGCAAGGATTTTGGCGTAAAACGCATTAAATGCACCAGATAAGCAAGAATTGGTGATTGAGAAATTAACCACTCAAGACCCGCCACATCACCACCACCACGTATCACATTGTAGTATAAATAGTACTACATACTTCGTAGCATTTATTTCATTGTTAGGGATTGACAACTTGTATTCACTAGTTTTAGCCTTCTCTACTCTTCAGTAATCACAATTTAGACTAGAGGCTCGGCGCTCGGTTCGGCAGGGTGTGCGGTAATTGTTTTAAGTGCTTAATATAACTCGGCCCACTTAATGTCCTTTTTCCTTGTCGATCAATACTTGTGCCTTTGAAGTATCAATCAACCCCTTGAATAACAACCAACTCACCAAAGCATCCATAGGAAGTCTATGGTCCTTGGACCTAGAGGAATAAACCTCAATACATATAATACAATATTCAATGTAAAAGTTTTTTTAAATAGTGGCCGGGAGTAAAAACATACAACATGGTTTCCCTTATTCCCTAAAGTCGTAGTGTCATCACAATTTGACATTATCATACACTTTTAACTCTAAAAAATACCCAATGAAAGGAGGTCTAATGGTCTATATTTCATTTGTCCCTACTCCCTATTACTTTGTTCTCACGAAAATAGATTAAAGTTATCAAATTTTCTCTTATAATATTTCACTCCAATTAGTATTAATAATTATTACAACTACGTAGTTAAAATTTAAATTAATAATTTTCATATCTTTAAAACTGAATTGGAATGTTGTAACTGATGACTTAAGATATTAAAAATGACCTTAACGAAGGAGGTACTGTAATATACAAATGTCTTAATTTAACTACAGTCCATTTCTAGATGGTGATATTGTTTTCTTACTAGACTTATTTGGAGAGGGATTTATTCTTTGGGTTGGTGTACTGTTAGCTCTTTGTTTATCTTTTTATTTGCTTTCCTTCTTGTTTTTCCTGAGAGTAGATTCTATGATATCCATAATGTACCAAACTTTTGTCCACATGGATCAATCAGAATGTTGCAGTTGAATTATTTAAGTCTAAATTAAAAATGATATATCTACTTGGACCAATCAAGTGAATAGTAGGTATGGTGCCTCATTTTTTAAATGGGTACCGAAATTCTCACCTTTCATGTTTTCATTTTCTTCCTCTTTGTAACTTCTTTCTTTCCTTTATTAATAAAGCTTTGATTGCAAGGGGGAAGGCCTCTAGGCTCTAGTAATTAAAGTCTATATTTGGTAGTACTCTTTATAATGTAAAAATTTGACTTTAATGTGCTTTGTGTAGGTAAAAATAATGAGATGTTTGGACTTTTTTGCCACACTAAACTTGGTCCTTATAGTTGGTGCAAAGTTAAACTACAGAGTGGTAGTATTACAGAGCAAGCATTTGCCAAAATCATGACTAAATTCAGCTTCAGGCCTTTCATCTTCTTCTTCATTCTCTTTCTTTCAACCCTTCTTTTCCTAGCAGATTCTGCAGATGAGTTCTCAAGAGAGCTCTCAAAGAAGGAAATGGGATTAAAGGGAGAAAAGCTGAGCCACCTCCGCTTCTTCTTCCACGACATTGTCAGCGGGAAAAATGCCACCGCCGTGAAGATAGCCCAGGCCACCACCACCAACACGTCTGCAACAAGGTTCGGGATGATGGCCATGATCGATGACCCTTTGACCGCCGGCCCGAACCTCTCCTCCAAGCTCGTCGGACGGGCACAGGGCGTATACGCGTCGGCGGCGATCGACGAAGTGGGGTTGTTGATGGTTCTCAACTTTGCTTTTGTGGGAGGGAAGTATGGCGGAAGCTGCCTCACTGTGCTGGGAAAGAACGCCGTGAATTCCGCCGTGAGGGAGTTGCCGGTCGGCGGCGGGACAGGGCTTTTCCGGTTTGCTCGCGGTTATGCGGAGGCGAAGACACGTATGTATAATGCGAAAACAGGAGATGCAATGGTGGAGTACAATGTTTATGTTTTTCATTACTAATCATTAATAATCTTAATTAATTTAGCAACCATTGTCTACTTTCTTATCAACTCCATCTTGTTGCAAGCTCTCTGTTGTTTTCTTGTTTTCTTGCATTGTCTTTTTTCTTAATACTCTTGTTTTTCATTTGGTTTTTACTTTTTACTAATAAGAAATAAAATATTTTAATAGTCAAAATCGTGTGTTTGCAAACATGAAAAGCGAATCGTTGCAATTAAAAGAGAACGAAGAAAGTAGATGTATCTAATGAAATCATGTGCCTAGCTACAACAGAAATGTTAATTACAATAATGGTTTGTTATTAGTTCTAAAACTATCAGATTTGAATTAGAAGATTACACCTAAAAAGTTATAGAATATGGATGCGGGTTGTAATATGCATAGAAAAAGAGTTTTATAGCAATTCAAATAAAATAAGTCATAAAATAATGAAGTGATAAAACCTTTTAAGCTAAAACATAAAAGAAACTTAATTTAAGGCTTATTTGAATCTCTCTATATATCTCAAGGAATGTTAACAATTTCAATCACAATATACTCAAATTTAAACCAAACATTCACTACCTTAATGTTAGGTGTATGAGTTAATTTCGAAAGTCGGAAGGTTAAGTTTGTTAGTAAAAGAACTAAGACCAATCTCTTAAACTCGTCGTTTAATAACCCTTATAATTTTCAGTAGGGGCGGGCGGGCAGAGCCAAGGCATTAGGCCGGACTCGCCGGTACAGAGAATATTTTTGAGAAAAAATTACCACGAATTTTTTACACTAAACATTAAAGCATTTTTTGAATTTTGGGTGGGTCAGGGCCTAGGTTGCCCCATGATCCGCCAATGATTTTCAGCTTATTAGTCTTATCATTCAACTTTTTGGCCTTGTTTGGCAATCGGCTGTTAGCTGTTAGCTGGTTATGACAACTGATTGATAATAGCTGATTGTGTCAGCTGTTGTAGTTGGTTGATTATGTTAGCTTGTTGTTTGTAAATGTTGGTAAATTAGCTTTTCAATAATATTTGTTTGCGTGTAAAAAGACATATAAAGACATTGATATTTTAATTTATTTTTATCTATTTCTTATAAAAATAATACTACCTAAATGTACTTGGAGTATAAATAAGTCATATTTTAGAAATTTTGGAAATATGAAAATACAACTACATGAAAAATAAAATAAATTAAAAGAAACATTTTAATTTGATTTGAATAATATGAATTTAAAAAAATCATGTTTATTTGTAGTTTTTAAAAAGAACTAAAGAATTATTATAATTTGATTCATGAAATCATATCACACTTGTAAAACACTTGATACATTAGTGGGATGCTAACTATAAATATTATAAACTTTGGTGCGTTGCATGCCATTGGTGGCTAGTGTAGGTATGAACTTTGAAGCATATAGTAGTACATCAGTATTACATAATTATTATATACAAAGCAGCCAAGCCCAAACGCTACTACTGCTGGCGTTTCAACACACCATCTATTTACCAAACACCGATTTTGATCAATTCAGCAGGTCAATCCAATTAAAAATGGTCAAAGAAGCTGAAAAATGGCCAAACGGCTATTTACCAAATACAACCTTTACCAATCACATTACTTTTTTACATAGCACGTTGAATTGAGAAATAATCAAAATGAGTTACATTTAAGACTGAATTAGCTAAAAACTATTGTAGAGCACCATATGAGCTATTTTTTCATGTAACTTTCCGTAAATTTATTAATAAAGCATATTTTAAATATAATTTTTCTATAGTTCAGCAAATTTAGCCCATTTAGCCATAATGTAATAAATTTCATCAAATTTAGCTGATTTAGTCAATTTCAGTGTTATCAAATGAGCATTTAAATTCGTGTACACATTTAAATTCTAAACTATATAGAGATGGGAAATCCACTAATATATACTACCTCCGTACGGATAAAATGTTTTCATTGCAAAATGGTACGATTATCTAGACAGTAACTTAAAAAGGTAATTTGAGTATAGTTTATTAAATAATTATGAGAACCGTTTGAAAAAGCCTTTCTCACTTTAGTGCCAAGAGGCACTTCTTGTCGTCCTCATAGATATATTATTTTTTAATATTCTATGATTAAATTGTCATTTGAGAGTGTTAATTGTTTCATAAAATAGAAACTAAAACCTTTATATGACGTCCAAAAAGTGAAGTGAGAACCTTAGAATTGGACAGAGGGGACATAGTTGGCTATACGAGCAGTTGACCTACACACTTGCTTAGGGCCTCACCTTCAAAGAGGGTATAAACAAAAGCTAGGGAATAGCGTTGATATGAAATGTTAATCTTAAATTGTAAAAGATGAAGGTTGGAGTTAGCAACGTGCGGTTCTTGAACTTAGCAATTGCCAATTCAGAACTCCTCACGAACCGAAACGCCTCTCCAAATTCTACACCACTCGTAACGTCTTTCCACATAATGTCGCAACTACTTGGAGAGTTGTGCTTTTGCCATTTTGGATGGGATAAGGACAAACTTCTAAATTGTCATCACCAATGATATGAATATTTATATTCAAGTACAATTCTTGCCATGGCTATTTATGATAGTACATATCTTATGTGACTAACGCACCATGTCATATTGACATACTATTGCGGTTGTTTTCGATATGATCACTCTTAACTTATTTTGAACATTACAGTTGCCATATTTGATGAATATTATAATGACATACACAAAATGGGATGAGGATTGGGCAGCTTACCATAAACAAATTCGCTTGTTACGAGACACACATGAAGAAAAGTGTGAGGGTTCTAGAGCCTATCTTGATCATATGTGTCTATCACCCTAACTTCATATACATATTATAGTTAGTGTAAATAACGTAAATCATTATCATAATTACATATAATACATGACTAACAACATATTTACACATTATGCCAATCATTTATGAAAATTACGTGAGCAAATACCAATATACCTGAATGTGCATGCATATTACATTTGTATCAACAAATGATGACACTCTTTCCAAGCACATCTACCACATTAATTAAATTATTTGTTGTCTTTTCAAACATTTTTGGTATGCTAAGTGGAAATATGTCTAGTTCTTTGTGATGGTACTTAAACCAAGAATATCACAAATTTTATAGAATTTCAAATTAAGATGCTTTATTGCTCCATTCAAATTTCACTTGGATCAACATTTAATTGAATACATATGACATTAGTGTAATTGTGTAATGTTATTAAAAATATTGGAATTATTTTATACATGTACTTAATAATTTTGTTTAAGAATAACATTTATCTTTCACGTGGTGCAGTCTCTAATGTCCATCCACCGCTCAATAGTGGGACTATGCACTATCGTAGTGAACTATGGGGGTGCCCTACAAACATCTACTGTAACTTGGTTATTACAAGAGTAATGTGTTATATAGAATGTGTCAACCTCCTTATCACCAATTGTGTTTAAAAGGGACATGGTTGTTATTTAACCATAGGATTTTGTAGTTAAGCGAGTCGGGGGTAGGAAAACCTAGGGATGGATGACTCAGTGGGAAGCTTGTAAGAAGGGGCGAATTGGTCCTACAAATTTGTGCCATTGTGGCTCCCAAGCTTGGATCATTTAATGAGATTATGTAAAAGATTGTGAATATGTAAAAGGCTCACACGTGCGACCGACTGAGTCAAGATCAGAACCCAAATTTGGACTTGTGTGTTTTAACCCGGTTGACAAATTGGCACTAGTTCAATACTATTTGCTCAAACCGCAACTAACTACCTAATACAACGACGCTGGAGAAGAACCCACTGTATGAATGGGAATAACCATCGAGCGAAGGCCGTATTGTACATTGTTACTATAAAAGTATGAATGACAATTGAACTATAAATAGTAATATATGTTACGAATCACATAAAAAATAATGTATGACATTAATTCAAGTGTATGTCCATACAATTACTTATAGGTTACAACGAGCACAATATTTTGAGTACACTACAATGACTACAATAAATGTGGCATCAAGGTAAAGTTACATTCACACAATAACATCCCATCACAAGGTTTCATTGAGTTACCAAATCAAAATGATCAAAACAATTTGTTTAGATTTCTACAACAAAATGTGGCCTAGGATACCAATTTTATGCAAATACTACGAAAATGTTTTTTAGAAAAAAACCCTCCTAATTTGTTATTCAAAACTTAAGATATCGGAACATATCCTAATCAATTTGTCATTAAATCGCTAAACATAACCTTTAAAGTTCAAAAAAATGGGACATCTTTACTTCCATATTTTTAGATTCTTCTCAACGGCGCGTGGCTGTCGCGCTCGGCTCACGGGTCACCCCCCCCCCCTCAATGTGAGCCGCTTTGGTTGGAGAATGGTTTGGTATTGACACAAAAAGGAAAACACGAACAATGCAATCAATAGATGAAATAGAAAGAGAAACTTCATTATTAGTTTAAAAAGATATATAATCTTTTGACATAGTTTTGTTCCTAAAAGAGAGGTAATGAATAACTATTTCAAATTTTGAATTAAGAGATTGTGATGATCTTCACTAGGTAAATTTTCAAATAAATTGTGGTAATAGCAAGTAGAGAGGAGTGACTATGGCTTTGGGCTTATGTAATGGCAATTGTTCACAGTTGTCAAGCCAAAGGGCCACAAGGGGCTGCCTCTTTCTCTAAAGCAAAACTAAAGAGATTTACGTACGTATTAACACATTTACAGCATCAAATCTCATCAACGCCAACCCCTATATACATCTCCGCCTCACGATTCATCTATTCTAAATTCTCGAATTTTCTTCCTATCATAGTTTCCCCTTAGATTCTTCATCCGTGTCACAGACTAATCATATTGGATGTCTGTTATTTACTAATTTCATGATTCGATCTATAATTTGTACGCATAAACTTTATGATTGCTGATTTTGGTTTGGTTGAAAAGTGGAGGGGATGGTGAGAGGATTGGTGGCGCGATTTTATTAAGAGATAAGAAATGCCAGGATTAGCTCAGAAAAATGACCAGAAATTTGCCAACGGAGCGGTCTCGTTTAATGGATCCGTTTCCGGCAGTGGATTCTGGTCCAAACATCGCGACGATGTCAGCTACAATCAGCTCCAGAAGGTAGTAGGTTTTAACGAATTAATCAAATCTATTAATCTCATGTATTGTTGTT